ACAAGATTGCTGCTGATGGAGGATGGGATAATCTGCAGATTGTCACTGACTTTGATCGCACTTTGACGAGGTTAGCTGGTGTGCGTTGAAATATGTGATTGCTTTCCTCAACTGAGGAGTTCTCGAAGCTACATTATGAAAAAGTTGCAAATTTACGAAAAACAAAGAAAATTTGCAGAAATTTCCTCATCGGCATTCGCGCGTGTAGTTGAGCATGTAGATCTTGTCCTATACTGCTATTGAATAATCACATGAGGAAAATTTCTGTCTGAATTTCGTCTGAATGGTGAAGCTTGGGAAAATATGTGTACGGTCAACTGCGTGTGCTGGGCCAGCACTGCTGGTGGCAGTATAAAAATTCTGAGAAAATTTTGGGAGATTACTCGTTGGTTTGCGTACACTTCTATTGAGTCGTGTTTAGATTTCTACAATGTAGTGAAAAAACTCTTTAGCTCAGCTGAGAAAACCGAACATATATTCCAGCACTGCATGTACTTGGTTGGGTAAGTTCACATCGCGATGAGTTTATCAGGGATTTTTTTCGGGAATTTTTTGTTCAGTCCGATTGTATTAGTGTCTCATTTCAGCCACTATGTCTCCCCTGGGGTTGCTGGGCAATCGTGTCACGGCATTTTCGAGACCTACCCCAAATTCACCGAGGACTTCTTCCTCAAGTCGCGATCGCTTGTGGAGAAATACCACCCTATAGAAGTAGTATAAGGGTGAAACTCCTCCACGATGTTTGATTTAGATGGACCCGAACATGGCACGTGAAGAGAAGCACGAGCATATGGACTTTTGGTGGGCGGAATCGGAAAAGCTGATATGTGATCAGGAGGTCTACAAGCACGGTGTAGAAGATGTTGTGGATTTTTCACGGTAATTACTCCGTTGGTGGTCAGTCTAATTTCCGTCTCGCGTGAGGTTTCACATGGAAATTTGAGCTCAGACACACCGTGTGTGTATGTTCAGACTTTTAAGAAAAACTTTGGGCTGGACTCGATAACCGAGTAGAATTGGAGTCTCACTCGTGATATGAAAAACATATTTCATATTTCACTTTGCGAAAAACTCATGTTCCCAGTGAGACTCCATTGATAGTTTGCTGGTGTTCACGGTATAGTGCACCATGCATTTGGAATACACCCGCGACTCGCTTCAGAGTTCAAACTCCAACGTTAATGATGGAGGAGGTTGGACTAGCACCGATATAATCGTTGGTCGAGGCCGATTTTCGTGGTTTAGTACCCAAAACGAACGGAGGGGAGAGATTGAAAATTCCCCATGAAAACGCTTATAGATCTTCAGGCTGTCAGATTTGATAATAATTACAAATTCGGGTCCTCCGAAATATGTTCTATCGCTCAGTTATTAATGATCCTTGCGTCTGTTTTGAACACTATGTCCCAGAAAACGGCAATCTGTGAGAAGGACTAGATTAGCTGCGGTCTGTTTTAGTCGAACTGGCAAATTCGCCCTTCGAGCAATGGCGCCAGAAATGCTGCGATTGGCGCATGCAGACGGAATTCCGGTGACGATCCTCAGTGCTGGGATCGGGAACATCATCGAATACGTTCTGAAGTGAGATGGTTGGATGAGGCTGGTCCGTCTTGATTGTTTTTTTTCAGAGGCTATGACGCTCTTTTCCCCGATAATACGACTATCGTGTCAAACATAATGCAGTTCGATCCCAAAACTGACAGGTTGCTGTCCTTTCGTGGACCACAAATTCACTGCCTCACGAAGAAATCAGCGCTCACTGATTACATCAGGCATGATGAGCAGCGCAAACAGCGTCATAACGTCATCTGTA